CCATTCCAGGATTAACTAAGAGGCGAGGGGGGCCGCCCCTCTACACCACCAGGAGGGCTCGCAGGTGGTCAGGGCAGCCTCACCCATGGAGTGAGCCTGGGAGACCCCAACTGCAGGTAGCCCCCACCTCCATCCTTCCCACCCCACACCGGAGACTTGAGGTGCGAACCAGGGCCAGGCTTCTGAGTTCCAGCAGTCTGTGCCCCTTTGAACACAGGTTGGGTGGAAAGTGCTAGGCCCAGTGGATAGGGGTGAGGGAGGTGAGAATGACCCGAGAGCAGGGAAAGCATGCCTTGGTGCCTTGCAGAGTCCTCCTCCCACCTGGCAGCATCAGGTCCTTCCCATCCACACCAGTGGGCGGCTGGGAGAGGAGGAAGCCACAGGTCAGCGTGTGAGTGGATGGCATGTGCTGGGGTGTGGAGATAGTGTGTCTGTGTGTGGGTGTGCGTGCATACGTGCAAGTGAGGGGGTACTCCCAGCACCTGCGTGATGGCCACTCTGAACCCCTCATTCAAGAGGAATGCTGGTCACTGACAGGGACTAGAGCAGGAGAAAGCAAACAAAGTGGCACTGCTTCTAATGCTGAGAAGGGCTCCAGGAAACAAAAAGAAAATGTGAGAGGGTGACAGGGTGGCCTCAGCACCCAGGGGTCCCCGACTGTCCCTTGGCAAGGCAGGGAGGCAATGAGAGCATTCCAGCCCAGAGTCCCCAGTCAGGGGCAGGGCGGGGCCTGCAGACTGTGGCTCCAGTCACCCTCTAGCCTTGACCAAGAACTCAGACAGGGGCCTGTGTGGGTTGGGCCTGTGTGGGTTATCTTGCACAGGAGCCCTTGTTGGTAACACCCGGTGCAAAATGACACGGGTGCCTTTCCGTTCGAGGATGCCCAGTGGGATGAGCTTGAGGGTCTGTGCTTGACCCCTAGATCCTGTCTGGAGAGGAGATTTTTCCCCTAAAATAAAAACCCAGCGACAGTCAGCAGGGAACCGGGAGAGGGGTCGGAGTGTTTGGGGAGGAGAGGGGAGGGGAGGGAAGGATGGTATTTCTGTAGGCAGGGTTCTGAGCTGCCAGTTAAAAATAAAAACCGTTCACTGAGTTCCACCGGGGAAAGCAGTGGGCTGAGGAGCTCCAAATTCCCGTGGTACCAGGGTGGTACCAGGCTATAATCAATCAATCCACAAGTATGTACTGAACCTCCACTTTGGATCCTGAGTGTTGCTTTCCAAGGCACGTGTATATTTAAGGAAAAAGATTAAAATGAAATGCATTCAACAGTTCAACTCTTGGTGGGGTGTATTTTGAGGCCTTCATTTCTTAGGCCTTGGAAGAGAGACTGGTGCTCCCTTTGGGTTCTTTGGTGGCATCTCATGAGGAAGGGCAAGACTCGAGTTCCTAGTGGGTGCTTCGTGGGGCCTGGCGTGCATCTCTGAAGCTACTGGAGAGCCCACCGGGACCTAATGGGACACCCCTCTCCCAGCCCCGCCGACCCAGGCCAAGGCCCGGTCACGCTGAGGGCCCGGCCTTTCTAGACGACCCCCAGGGATTCGGGAGAATAGCAGTCCAGGGAAACCCGAGCCTCCGGTCCAGCCTGTGATCTGCCCTTGATCTCAGGGTTTTGTGAGGAAGATAAAACCACTTGAGACTGAAAACATCCGTCTGAAAAAGAGACAAAGGGGCTGGAGGAGGAAGAGCGAAGAAGGTGCGGGCAGAGAGTAAAGGGGCCGGGGCGGCGTGGGATGGGCGCGAGGGGCTGGGACACGTTTCCTTTACTAGCGTCCTGTCCAAGATCGGCCCTACCAGCCTCCGCTTGCCAAGTCCGGAGCAGAACCGACGATGGCTATGTCCTGAGAGCGACCTCGTCCCCGCCTCGCAGTTCAGAGGACATCACTGATCTAGGAGAAGCTGATAGCAATGCCAGTTATCACGGTGGTCATTAATAATGCAGTGAGGATCACGATAATTAATAATAATAACGATGGGCCTCCCGAGGGGGCTCCAGCTGCCTCCGGATAAAGCGACTCTCCCGATGAGGGTAGTTACTCGGGGGTGGACAGAGCGCGCGGAGCCCGAGCTTGGGCGCCCTAAAGTTCAAGTTGACGGCGGTGGCAGCCAGACACCGTCCTCCGGCAGCTGCAGCTCTGGGTCCTCGAGGGAGGAGAGGACGGGCTTCAGTGTTGTGGCTCGGGAGTCGAGGGCAAGGGCAGGTTAGCATCCAGGTCCGTCTCGACGTGGGGG